TTATAAATTCGTATTCGGTAATTTATAATAACGTAACTTTTTTTAAATAAATAATATATTTTGCCATGTAAAAATTATTATTAAATGATTGGCAATATATTATAAAATTTATTGATCAAATTCAGATTTTAATAGTTTTATATAAAATATTACTATGAAACGTAATTTTTATTTGCTTTTTCATCCTCTGCCAACTTGTACCATCTGTATTAAAATATATTTATCAATATATATTTATTCTTATCTTTTTGTTAAAGTAAATCAATAAAAGAAATTTAAAAAAAATTTTTATACTTGTACATCATTATAGTTATTATAACATTTACACATTAATTAATTAGATCAAATTACATTTCGTATTATTTAATAATATTATTCGTATGATCATTCATATAAGAATTTCATAGCATGAAAATGTTCATTAAAAATAGTATAAGCAAATATATTCTGTAATTATATTTTTGAATCAGAAATCTTATTTATTACACTCTCAAATTTTACAATATAAATAAGATATTACTTATATAGAGTAATTTTTAAATTTACAAATATCGCAAACTTAACGCGAAGATTTTCCACGAATTTTCCACGTTAACTGTTACACAAGAGTTCTTAAACATAAAGAATAACAACTTACTTCCAAGATTTGAATATCGAACAAACTGCAAAAAAAACTTCTGCGTCATTTCTCTGGCTGACGTTAAGCACTCTAAACGATCTAAATGTTCAAACAGCGCGTAAAAAATTCCATAACACGAATAAATAATAATCTGTCACGAAAGTAGCCTAATGTTTATGTACACACACAGAATACCGAAACGATGTTCTAGGTGCATAAAAAGTCGATGAGATGTAACCAACCTTGACCAATCGAGATAGAGACCGATTTTTCATGAAATAGCGGATAACGAATTCCTTTGGAAGAAGGAAAATCGTGATTCATGCAAATGTGGCTATACGTATCGTTATGTCACAATATTTTATTCGTGCAAATGCAAATTGGAAATTTTGTATTGTACATTGCTAGGCAGTCGGAAAAATATATAGTCTAACGAGATAAGCCAACTTACACAATATACAGTCGAGTCACACGTATTCTTATAATTGGCTGAGCCATTAACTACCACCGATATATGTCAATGTGTGTTACGTTTAGAAGACCGGCCATATCTTCAAAGTGCCAACTTACCAGCAAGGTACATATTTCAATCTTTGTGAAAAATGTGTAAATAAGTTGATGTGACTTAAAAATATCAATAGTTGTTTGATTTATGAAATTTGTAAATGTTTAAATATAATATAATACATAATAAATAAGATATTAATATATTTGTCGATTTTAATGGTCAAAATAAACAGAAAAATGTTGGTTAAGGCCTTATTGAGTTACAGATATTTTAAGTTAGTATTAGATAAAATAGGAGGATGGAGATAGAGTGAGACAGCTTTATCTCTGTCATATCCTCTTATTTTCTTTCCGTCTTCTTTCATCTAATGCAAATTTCAATTTATAATAAGCGAAATATATCATAATTAATATTTTTATGTATCAATTTTTCTATTTTTTTTTAGCTTTTAGAATCAATTTTTCAAAGATATCCCGATATCACGAATATGTTAATAACATAATATTATAATATATATACATAATATAAATAATAACATTTAAAAAAAATTGTTTATAACTTTGAAAATTTTATTAAAATCCATTTTTGCTAAATCTTTTTTTCAACATTTATCGAATATTATTAAAAATTCACAAATTCTTTTTTTTTTTCTTTAATCAATTTCTTATTATTATTCTATCTTATTTAATAGTACACAGTCATCATCATTATATAAATATTTTATGTAATACCATATTCATTTTATTTACAAAAAAATATTTCTCCATTTATGTTAAATAAATTAAACAATCTGTACTTTACTGTAACAAACAACAAATAATATAATTTAAGTAAAGTTATCAATTATTATTCAGTTATTATTCACGTTCTAACGTTCACGAAATTAATTAGAAATTAATTACATTAACTTGGAAATCGTCGCCTCTATTTCTTTAATTCTAAATCAAATTAAATTCAATGATCTAACTGATTGATCGATAAATAAAAATATATGGAAAAAATACGACACGGCACTTAGTTAAATTGGCTTCGGCATTGATTATTGGTTGTACCATATACGGAGAAGCTTTCTATATGGTTAAATGCCATTTTCTCCGACTGGGAACCGTTATCTCAATGACAATTTATCCTCCCGTTTACGATGGTATTATTATTAATTCACCGTCCAGCAGATTCTCAAATATGTACTTTCTATAAAAAAAAAAAAAAAAAAAAAAAATTCGAAAAGGAATTCAAGTATAGTAGCAATCAAATTTCGAATAATAAAATGATAAAAACCAATAACTAATGAATAATTATTTTATTATATTATTATGATGTTTAATAAAAATTAGGATTCATCAGAATCGCACGAAAAAATTAAAAAATAATTATAAAATATTGGCTTGAATTTATTATAAAAATATGAAATTTAACTTTTCAGAAGATAAATGAATGGCTTCTTGTATGGTTCAATTATTTTATTTAAAAATTAAATTGCATTTTTAATAGAAAACTAAAAATATATTCTAAAAGTCAACGCTTCGCGGCTAGAATTTAAATGAAAATTGAAATTACTAGGGGTCACTAGCGCTGCAAGTTTACTTTCGTCGAAGAAAAGGTGAAGCGTGATAATCAATTTGTACACGAAACCAAGATAAATAAAATTCACCTTGAAAATTACGGAGAAAAAATTTTTAATGGAAAAAAAAAAAAAGTCAATTCCTGAACAGCTGCTGCTCAAATAAAAATTACTAGAGTTGATAGCAGATTTCGACGAAAAGGAGGTCAAGCACGATAATCGATTGGAAAATCGAAGATTTGTATAAAGACGAAATCAAGATAAATAAAATTCACTTATAGTCAGAGATTATCGAGAAGAAATTAATTGCACACGTATTAACAACGAATAATCACACGATTAAGAATGAATAATAAAATTAATTAATACGAGTAAGTCTTAAGAATTATTGAATGCATTCATCGATATTTAATCATCGTCAAAGTGAATCAACTAGATAACATTATTTCCAATTAATAAATGTTTACACGCATACATAATATATATATATATATAAAAAAAAAAAATAATAATAATAATAGAGAAAAAAAATGAAAAGTAGAAAAACGAGAAAAAAACTCAAAGAGAAATTTTATATTTTTTAATAGTTATATTTAGAATTCGTATTCTAATTGCAAATTTCTCGCCGAATCGAGAATGTAATTTCTAACAAATATAATGTGCAATGTTCGTGATAATAATTTCATTACGAAACATAGCCGCGAATCAGAAGTGTTTCGAGCTAATTTAAAATAAACTTTGTAATTATATTGCTTTTCTCGATTTTATTAAGAGTAATCGAATTTTATAAAAATATGAAATATTGACAATTTGATATAAAATTTATCTAATCAATTGTGTGCATTATTTTTGCGTTATCTTTTAAGTATTAGATTTTTCATTACTATAAAAAAGAATATTTAATTCTGAATATATTTTTATTTCTTCAGTTTCTTTAAAAGATTTTTTTATAAATAGAATTTTTCAATGTATAATAATAATTTTTCAATTATGTCCACATAATATTGAACAATAGTATTGTTAAGAAAAAAGATCTTAAGAAACAAGTAAAAATCAAATAAGATAAAATTTAGTGAGGTTAAATTAAATTGTAATGATTTTTATCACAGTATTCAAAATTTATTATATAAATATTATTCAAATATGAAAGAAGATAATAACAATAAAAAAGATATAAACAGAGTTTTTTTTTATATTTGATGCTAAATAGCAGTAAAATATAATATTTTCTCAAAAAGAATGACTAAAGCACTTATTATCTTCAATAAAAAATAAAGAAAGCAGTAACTGCATTAAAAATATTGCTTCTTAAGAACGTTAGAAAGATTAAGGTTTTCAAAATTTACATCTCAAATCATATAATAATTATATTTGTTTCACAACTGGCAAAAATTAAAATATGTGAAAAAATATCTTAACCTGATATTTTATTAAGAAAATATAGTGTATTAAACACAAATGTTATTTGTTTAAAATCTTTTTCAACAATTAAAATTTTATTAAGAACAAATCAAATTTGAAAGAAATGGTTATTACTATTTTTCATAATAAAAATGAAAGATTAATAAAAGAATTATATAATGCAACAATATCAATTTAAAACCTGTACCATTTTCATAACAAATAATGCTCTAGATATTAATCTTTGCGGTTCTACGTCCAGCATGACTGAACATATTATTCTATTATAGTAAGTCCAATGTCCAGTCTACCTAGACAACGGTTTTATTTCGGTGAATCTTATGTTTAGACCAAATAGATTATACGTTCCGTTATTCGTGATACAACAGAGGATGATTTATCATGAAAAAAAAAAAAAAAAAATTCTTTTGAGTTGAAACTTTTTTTTTTGTTTTTAAGTAAAACAAATGAAAGTGAAATTGATTAATTGCCAATTAAATACGAATATAAATATCTACAAAAGCTAACATTACAAAACTAAGTAGAAGATATGGAAGAAACATTTTCTTAAATTAATTTTTGAGAAAATTAAACGACTTTTTGATCGAAAATATTTAATTTTAATTTTCTCACCATTCATACCCAATCTTCAAATTTGATTTACATAAAAACGAAGCCTCAAAAACGAACAAATTTTATTCTCTCTTTTCTGCTTACTTTTTTTTATGAGAAATCACTTTCTCTCCAATTATATCAAAAATAACGGAACACCCTCTGTATATTCAAATTACATTATCAAACTGTAATACAACATTCATATCTATTTTATTTATACTAAATAATTAAAAAACCTCAGAGAATTAATAAATTAAAAACTAATAAATTAAAAAAAAAAAAAAATGGAATCCTACCTTGAAGACCTCCGAGAAGAAGCCAGCGCCGATCTTCTCCATATAAAAATCGTCCAATCGGTTCAACGAGGCGACCGCATGCCTCAACGCCTGACAGGAAGCGCCCGTCCTCCTCTTCGTGCTCGTATCCTGATACGCATCACCGGGGCACACGTTCAGGTTGCAAATATTGCTCTCCATTTCGGTGGGCCGCCACGGATCACGGCACTTCTCCCTGTAATTCCTCGGCGAGGACAACTGCAGCTCCGTAGGAAGATCCTGGGGCAAACAGGAAACGCAGCTCTGCTGCAACGCGTCACCGTTAGACTTCATCCAATCCTTGGCAGGCGTCGACGTGGCAAAATCTCCCCTGCAGTTTCTTTGCTCGCAGGTGGCGGAGGTTGCCGAGGCGACCATGTCCACAATGTCGTTCTCGTTCGCGTGATACTTGGACTTCTGGCAGGGCTCGTCGGTCGACTGGATCACAGAAATGGCGGTGTAGTCCATGGACGAGTTGGCCGCCTCGTCGTTGGAATCGGAAGACCTGCTGCCAGACTTGGCCCCCGCAACTTGGCCACCCACGCTCCTCTGCGAAACAGACTTTCCAGGCAAATGTTGCTCCTTACCGGTGAGAAACTCGCGGCTCGGACCAGCGTGTTTCTTCACCAGCTTCGAGGAATCCCTCGGGCTACCCGCGGCGTTGTCCACGTTCAGATTGCTCAGGCTGGTGGAGCACAGCACCCTTTGCGACTTCGTGGCCGGTGCGCAATTACTCGATTTCCCGAAGTTGGCGCAATTGGAGTTGGACGAGCACTTGTGGCTCTTCAATCCCGCCTGGCCTCTTCCGTGGCCGGCCTCCTTGTATTTGGAGCAATTCTTGGCGCACCCGCTCGCCTCGCTTCTGCCGGCTCTGTTCACCTCGAACGACGATTGGGAAGAAAGATTGGACGAGGTCGGTTGGGAGTGATGGTCGACACCCCAAGCCTTCGACTTATCGTCCGACGGTTGCTCGAAACCGGTGCACTCGGTGGCCGATCTTCTGGCCTTCTTGTCGTCCACGGCGAGGTGACACTCGGACGACGTGCACATCTCCTTGCATCTCCTGACTTTGGGTTTATTATCCTCGGATAATAACTCGGGGGTCTCCTTGGGCCACCAGGACTTCGACTTGTCCTCGGAATACTCGTTCGAGGATCCTTCCTTCGCCCTCTTAGGCTTCGACTTGTCGTCCAAGGTGATGCAGGGTGGTGGCTCCAATATCACGGAGGCGTTGCAATTCTCCTTCGATCTCCACAGTTTTTGTTTATCCTCCATTCCCGTGGAAGGCGCCTCCGAGACCACGGGTACGTTTTCCTTGGGCCTCCAAGGTTTCGACTTTTCGTCGGTGAGGATGGGCGGGGCCTCGTCGACCGAGAAACAAGGAAGGCAAGTGGTAGCCGTCGGCCTGGCGCACGATTTGCCGGGTGCCCCATCGTTCGCAGGTGGCCCTGGTGTGTTCGAGGGTGGCACCTTGCCGAACATTTTCGCCGTTATTGCGGGAAGATTGAGCAGCTTGAGTCGGGACGGAGGGTCGCCGTCTCTGCGCGCCGCATTACACGGATTGTATCAGTCTTGTGGCTGGCCTCTGTGTTGTACGCTCGGTGCGTTGGGTTCAAAGGAACCTGGCCGCCGACACTCGACCAGGAAGACACTCGAGGCGACGAGCTGCGTCCTCGAGGCGATGGCCCGGCATCTCAGGATCAGATGATCGGTTCAGGGAGTTCGATGACTGTTGCAAGTGTTGTACGAGGGATCACATTTAAGAATTTTAACGTTTGAGCTGTTCGTACACGCGGAGTCTCTGTTTTGGCAGTGGGTGGGTCACGCGTCAAATGTACCACTAGGACATGGTCCTAGCACGGGACGCAGTGCGACAAGGCGTCGATGAACTCGAGGAGCACGTGGAACATCCGCAACGACGGAAGTTGGCACATCTCTCTTCTCCTCTTCGAGCGTTCTCGAAATACGGAAGGAGACTTTAAGCTTTTCTGGAAAAGAAATATGTATGTTATAAAAATTATTTTTTTCTAATTTTTGGAATTTTTTGAAATTTTTTAATGTTTCGATTGCTGCTGCGAGATCTTTGGTTGCTGTGAAATTTCATTTCTTCGAATTCCACTTGTATTTTAATCTGAATTTTCTTTTCTTATTATCCGAACTGTTATTCCTGCTTATGTAAACGTCTTTATGATAGAATTAAAAATGTGAAATGTATTTTTGATACAAAATAAATAAAAAATTTAGAAATTATTATTTATTTATAGTTTTTAAAACTGTTTCTAAATTTTTAATATTTAATATTATGTATTTTAGAAAAAATGAATTGTAAATTGTTCTGACAAATTTATGTAAATGGACTTCTAATACATGTATTCGTTTCATAAGACGTTTCATAAATTTGTTCTTAACTAATATACAAGTGTGTTTTTTCTAAGTAAAATATCCTTTAAGAAAAAAATATTAGAAAAAAGTGTTTTTATAAAAGTTTATTTTTATAAATTTTGTTTGTGTAAGAGGAATATTACGTAATAATATCAAAAATAATAAATTATTTTGTCCAAAAATTATTAATATGTAATTTAAACTTATTATATAAAATACAAGAATAAAGTGATATCTATTGTTTTACATTTTTTTTGTCTTTCATATGATAAATCTTATAAATTTATTCTATTCCGTTATATTTAGATAAAAATCTATATAAGGAGGACATTCTGTATAAAATTAAATATTTCAATTTTCAATTTCAGAATTTCGTCATAGCGTTAAATTTTCTTGATTCAAATAGAGATAAGTCAAAATATGATGAAACGATAGCCAAGTATTAAATCGTTCACTAAGTTTTATAGGTCACTTATAAATAATGATACACTACATTGAACTTATATTTCACATTATAATATTTCTCAAAAGTTAATCAGTTATAACAAAATAACAAATTTTGTAATATATCAATGTTCGATGATGTGCTGTTAAAATTATTAACAAAACGAAATAAATTATAAGTATAAAAATTCATTTTCTATTCAATCTATTCTCCAAACACTACATTTTTAATTATCACTTATTTAATATAACAAAAAGTGGCAAAAAAATCTTATGAAAATAAGTAAAATTTAATTCCTGTTAAAATAATTCGAATAAATCAATTAATTGATGCATAGATGTTATTTAAATTAAAAAAAAATTAAAATGAAATTATTTTAATAAATATTATAAAATAAAAAATCAACAAAATATAGTGAATCCAATATTTGTTAATAAAACGCTCAAAGTTTTTTAATTACAAAAAATTTATTATAATAAAAGGAAATAATGATTTATTGAATTAACCTTTCTGATATTTCAACGATGCATCATACAGAATTAAAATCTAAAAGAATTCTTCACATTAGATAGAGTAAGCGAGCATATAAATAGGAAAATTATTTCTAACTAATTCTTTTAATTGATTCAACTAATTCATGAAAAGTTTCATTTCTATTCTTTTATATAATACAGAATTAAAATATACCATATATATCCATCAAATTACGATTATTCTTACACCTTTTATACAGATATAAATTAAAGACTTTCTCTATTTATATATTCTCAGTGTACATACTTCCGTATAGAGTCAATGTAGCATGATGGTTCATGAATATTATAAATAGTAAAATTATTGAAATCTCTTTTTGTTGAAATATCTTTTTAACAATATACAAGAAAGCTTGTTAAAAGAATAGACAAGAGAAATAGTGAAAATTTTGGCGGTATGCATGCGGCGTTCCATTCTAATGTATATGCCAAGTTCTCAAGACCCGGGAATGCGGACAGATTTGTTAAATAACGCGGATATATGTATGCAGGTTGGCCGAGTATACGCAGTGATACATTAGACAGCGCGCACGGCAATTTGATTTACAAAGCAGTGCTACTTCTTATTCCACCAGTTGCGGCAGATGACTGTTTTCACACGCGAGAATCGCAATTTATGATAAAAGTACCAAGCGCAATTACGAGAGACTTATTATGTTTAATTGGTAGAATGTTGTCGCGGACTGATGCGTTTTTAGACAGCGGAAAGTCTTTTCTGTTGAGATCAAATATTTTGTTCCAATTTTAAAAAATTTTATCATTTAAATTTCATAAATCTTTGTTGTAAATTTCTGTTGAAATAATATTTAAATAAGAAATAAGAAAGACTTGACACTCTATTCAAATAAAAGATTCTCTTGCATTTTTCGTTACATCTTTAGTACTTGATTATAGAAATATAAATTACAATAAAATAAATTATTTGCAAAAATATAAAAATAAAAAATTCGATATATTATGTTTTGAAAACATAGAAAAACAATAATCGAAATAACATACCTGCAAAATTAAGATTGATGTATCCAGTGATTTCCTTTTTATGCTTTATGAAGATATTACGTCCTTCGTGTCAAAAATTCTGGGACAAGTCCTTGGAGAATACACGAGAACACATAAACGAAAACCGGGAAAAGCGCGCTCAGTGTTGCTGTCAGTGACAACACACTCGAGATAATACATTCGATCGCGAAAGTGGCATGAAACTCACTGGGTCTGTTGGCAACGTGACGTTAAGTTGATTTTAGAAGACCTTGAACCACGTGAGGGAATTCGAGCTCGCAGAAGAACAAGACGTCAAATACTGTCGGCAAACACGGACGAGACGGGAGGCATGACCGAACGGCATCCGCACGCTGTCACTTTTGTTTACTGTCCGAAGGCGAACATCGGTTCGAGGGAATCATGCGACTCCGACACGACTCGACGTTGATCGATGATGTTCGATTGCATATCGTGCGATCTCGATCTGCGATTCTTCCTGTTACTAGCGCGATTTTTTTAATCTACCACTCTGAACGATCGGTGGGTCGAGTAAACAGTGGGACACCACGCACATCCGATTTGAATTTTTTCGATAGACCGTCCACCTTGGAGTCACAATTATACACCACCATACGCACTATGCACGAGCGAACACCACACTTCTTGTTACGTGGATTGCTGTACACTGGATTTTCGTGAACGATAATGTTGTGCAAATTTTTCTTCGCGAGATTCTGAAAGAGACCGATTCACCGACAACGCCAGACGGCGGCCATTACAGAAATGAACTGCTCCGCCGCACGCCGTCTATCGGCGATAGCCGACGTTACCCCCACTACCTTTCTACTAATGAATCGAATGTAAAGACGGCACGCGTCTTTCGAATGTGCGCATCCTAAACGCGGAATTTTTTATTCTCCTCTTCTATACTTAAATTCGAACAAAACACGCAAGGTGTGGAATGAATATTAAGCAGAAAAGATTCATCGTATAGAATCAAAGACACGAATCTTTCTATTCTTTAGCAAACAATAGGAAAACTTTATTTTAAGTTCTTTGAAAAAAAAAGTATTTTCTATTATCTTTTAAAAAAAGAATTCTTAGAAACATTTCTTATTTATCGCGTGAATATAACATTTTATTTAATTTCACACAAAAATAATATTATTATTATGTTAATAGTTAGTATGAGAGAACGATATTACCATGAAAATAAGAATAGAGAAATTGTATCACTTGTTCAATGAAAATTCTATGAAACAACGATTTCACTGCACGAAATAATTTATGAGAATTTCCATTCCGACTTTACCGCCACGATCTCTTCTCTATGATGCCGAACAACTAGTTTTTGCGAAGCAGAATGAAAGTGTGAGAATTCTCATATGCATACAAATACACCTTTCACTGTCTTTCAACAATTTTCGGTTTCTCACATAACTACTTAAATTTCTCATTTTATTGTCAACGACGCAGAACAAATAACTTGACACATAATTTCATGAATTTTATGTGATCAAATTATTATCAATTGTCATTCTAATTTTTGAATTTTTTTTTATTTATTTTTCTTAAAATCAAATATAAATTTTATGAATTTTATGAATTTATTCATGAGTTTTTAATAAATTAGCAATATTAAAAAATAATTATATACATACATATAAATTAAAATTAACATCAGAATTTGTAATTTTCAAAAAACGAATCAAATACAAATGAATGTTTGCATGCAGTGCATGCAAGTATTCAATACATACTGTATACTCTTATGTTTACCAGCCTGATTCTTTCCTAACCTATCTTTTAGTTAATAGTTACACGTGATATATTAAAATATATTTTGGTTTTTTAATTTATTATTATTGTATATGAATATTGAAAATTAATATAAAAAATTTATAAAAATGGCGAAATTTTGTCTAAGTAAGTTAAATTATTATTAATTAATCAATTAATACAATTTATAACGTTCGTTGAAAGTTTTGTTTATCCTAAATTTTTTTTAAAAATATTTTTTTTCTATAATTAATTATTTTTATAGTTTTATTTATTATATTTATTATATTATATTATATTATATTATATTATATTATTATATTATTATATTATTATATTATTTATTATATTATATATATATTTGTTTTATTTGTTACTTATGTCATTTATTATAGAGAAACCGAGCAAACGAATGCCAGCTCGAAAAAGATATAAAATTGAGAAAAAAGTTCGAGAACACAATAGGAAATTAAGAAAAGAAGCAAAGAAACATCCTAAAAGTAAATATTATAACTGTATATTTGAATTATTATAGTTATAGATATTAATGATTTTTTGTTGTTTTATAGACAAACCAAAAATAATTGAAGTTCCAAATCAATGTCCTTTTAAAGAAGATATTCTTAAAGAAGTAGAAGCTATGAGAAAACAACACGAAGAAGAGAAACAAAAGCAACGTGAAGCTGCACGTCAAAAAAAACAAGAAGAACTTGCTAAAACAGGTTTGCAAGGATTAGTTTCAGCTGCAGAGAATAAACAACAGCAACATCAAGAGATGGAAATAGATACTCCACATGAAAAAATAAAAGATGCTTTAACTAAAGAGGAAAATTCATTAAAAGCTTATTACAAAGAATTCAAAAAAGTTTTAGATGCAGCTGATGTTATTCTTGAAGTTGTTGATGCTAGAGATCCTTTAGGAACTAGATGTAAACAGGTATATTAAATATATTATAAATATTAGATAAATATATTACAAATATAAGATATCTTAAATAAAGATAACTTATAGGTTGAAGAAGCTGTACAATCTGCAAAAGGAAATAAAAGATTGGTAATAGTTTTAAATAAAGCAGATTTAGTACCCAGAGAAAATTTAGATCAATGGTTAAGATACTTACGTAGTAGTTTACCGGCTGTAGCATTTAAAGCTTCTACTCAAGACCAAGCTAAGAGATTGGGTAGAAGAAAATTAGGGAAAAAAACTGAAAAGATGATACAAAGTGGAACTTGTTTTGGTGCTGAATTATTGTTGTCATTGCTTGCAAATTATTGTAGAAATGTTGGAAATGTTAAAACTAGCATTAGAGTTGGAGTTGTTGGACTTCCAAATGTTGGCAAATCAAGTGTTATTAATTCTTTAAAACGTAGTAGAGCATGTAATGTGGGAAGTACTCCAGGTATTTAGATTATAAGATTATAAGATTTTTTTATTTTATGATGTATATTTATATTTTTCTTATAATTTTTAATTTTTTTATTTTAAGGAGTAACAAAAGCTATGCAAGCAGTGCAATTAGATTCTAAAATAAAATTATTAGATTCTCCAGGTATAGTTTTTGCTAATCCTGGAGATAATTCAGATGAATCTTCAGTAGCTTTAAAAAATGCAGTAAAAATTCAATCCCTAAAAGATCCATACACACCTGCAACTGCTATTTTGAAAAGAGTTTCTAAACCACAAATAATGGAAATGTATAATATAACAGAATATTCAACACCTGATGAATTTTTTGCTTTAAAAGCTACCAGAATGGGAAAATTCAGAAAAGGTGGAATACCTGATACAATAGCAGCAGCTCGCAGTATTTTGGAAGATTGGAATTCTGGAAAAATTAGGTATTTATAAAACATTGTATTTTATAGATTATCAAATATAATAAACTTGTACTATTTTCTTAGATATTATACTGTTCCTCCAGAACAACCGGATTGTCACGTATCCGCAGAAATAGTTAGCCAAATCAGTAAAGAATTCGATATTGAAAGTTTTGCTGCAGAAGAAAAAATGATGCTTGATAATTTCGAAGAAGAATCTTCAAAAAAACAGACTATTGATTCATTATTAATTGAAAGTTCTGGACCAGTTCTATCTGCTATGGAGGTTGAATTGCAAAAGCAAGCAGTAAGTTAACTTACACATATTTACATATAAAATATATACATAATTCTTATTAAGATAATTATATCGTAATAATAATTTTTATAGCAAATTAAAATTCAGAATAAACAGAAAAAACAAATGGAAAAATCAAAAAAGAAAATGGATGAAACAAGAAAAAAGAAAACAGATCCCCTTTTTGAAATTGAAGGTAATCAGAAATTAAATAAAATGAATAAATTGCGATTTAAAAAAGAAAAGAAAGAACAAGCTAGAAAAGGTAAGAACATTTTTTTTTTTTTTAGAAAAAAAAACATATTTCTTCAATATATATTTTGCTTTATTGTTTGAATTTTATAGAAAAAGCAGCTACCAAGTTGGCGGGCCAACTCGAAGAATTCAACATCTCAGCATCTGATGATTATGATTTTAATACAGATTTTGTAGAAAAATAAATATTGTAAACATGTTTATTTAAGATTTATGTGTAAATAATTGACATGAAGCAATGAAAGAATTTTTTATAGAAACAATTTTTTAATAATAATCTTTTAATTACTCTAAAATTAGAGTATGTGATACAAATATTTCAAAATAATCAAAGAAAAATTATTAAATTATTAAAAAAATTATTATTAAAAAATATGCTAAAGCAAAAACTTATTGATAAATAAAAAAAGTGTCCAAAAGACCAATTATGATTTTTAAAATTGGATATTATTTTTTTTTTATTAAATTTTATTTTAACTCTAATGATTTGACATAATTCATAAAATATAGACAATATATGCATCGTGACAAACAATTATGATAAGAATCATTCGTCCATTTCTTCTTCAAACAGAAACTCGTATTTTATGAAACGAAAACTAACGAACTACTAATAATAAAAATATCAAAATATATAATTTTGTCTTTTTTATCCACGCGCAATTCTCTTTCCGCTTAATCATTTTATTTTTTACGTTTTAAATATGCATTAATATCAATAATTCATGAAAACAATTGCATTTTAATTAATGTAAATAATGTATATTTCAAATTTATTTATTCCACAATAAATATTATTAATTATAAATATAATAAATATTATTGCAATAAATATCAGGTAAAGTTAGTTTATCTATTCTAATAATACTTATCATAAGAAAAATGAAATTATATAGAGCTCATAACAGTTATAAAACTATATAATCAGCGTGCATGATAACTCAAAACTACCGCGGTTATACAATTCATGTCATTCGGCTATAAGTCTTCAACAAAGTAGCAGTAACTGTGACGAGTGACATTTAATACTTAAAATTAACTCGTTAATTTTCACCGCACAATCGGTTCATTTTTCTCGAAATTTTGTTCACGTATCATCCGTTTCTGAAATAAAATAATAATGAGCAAAAAGGAAGAGGAAATTATTTTTCCGTTAAAACCAGTTGGTCCACCGAAAGTGTGGAAAATTATCGAAACTAAAAAGAAAGACACAGGTGCTCCGATAAAATTCTCTATTCAACAGATACCAGAAGACAGATACGAGGATGTAATTGATCATATGTGTAAATATTTCATCGCGGACGAGCCCATGTCTAATTCTTTGAGTAAGTCGTTCTTTTTTTTTTTTTTTTTCGTATATTTTTAATTGAAGCATAATTCTGGAACAAAAAAATTACATGGTAACATGATGAGACATTAAGAATAGATTACGACTATGTTCTTACATGACATTGTTATTCTATGTGATGTAATAAGAAAAAGAGTGAAGAGAATTATAATTTTAATATTTTTATTTGATTATTTTGATTATTTAATTCCATAAGAATTTTTTTTTAATTTTTATTGAAATTTATTTGAAACAATAGAAACGCAACTATGATTGTCACATTTTTGGATGTGATGAAAAAAAAATTTATAATTTTAATATTATTTATTTAATTTTATAAAAATATATTTCGTTTGTTTTTATTTTTCATAAAATAATTATTTATAATGTAACGTTTTCAAAAATAAAATAGCTCATACTATTCTGTTCATAAAAAAATAATTCTTTTATTTCTAGCAATACTATATAATGCTATATAATCAG